CATCCCCAATGAGGTATCTATTTGGGGCACTATCACCATAGAGCTCTCATATATGCAGCCCAAGCCCAAAAAGGCATCCCCAATGGGAGAGATTCTGGGCTCTAAATGCTAAAGACTTGCTGGAGCTATCCTCAAATGTGTGGACTTGGATGCAGCCCCTTCAGATGATTCACTTTTTTCTCTCCTCAATCGCCCAGGACATGCACTTGTCCTCTTACTCGCCTACCAAACCACATGTACATGGGGCCTACTAGCATATAAAAATGAATAAAAAATTCTTGATTTTTTTTTTTTTTTTTTTTTTTTTTTTTTTTTTTTTTTTTTTTTTTTTTTTTTTTTTTTTTAATAAATAGCTAGTTTTTTTCTTCACTCTAATCACTTTTTTTAAAATATAAATAAAATAAATATCCAAATTTTGAATTTTTTTTTTTTAAATGTTCAACAACAAAAAAACTAACATAATATAAACATACATTAAAACAAAATAAGTTTAAAAAAACACATAAATCAAATTTCATCATTAAAAAAAATAAATATAGAGCTCTGAATATAGAGCCTTCCATTATAGAAGAGATACCTTTAGAGCCCTAAAGATTCCATTATAGCTCTAAATAGGGCTCTATCAACCTCTTTTAGAGCCCCAATCATAGTCTCTAAATGGAGCGCTAAAAATAGTGGATAGAGCCTCATTTAGAGCTCTAACAAAATATTCCATGCTCTAAAGGTATCTTTCTCACAATGGGGGGCTCTATATTTGGATTTTTATGATGTATTTTGATTTATGCTATGTTGTTTATTAACTTATTTTATGTTCATGTATTTTATGTGATTTTGTTGTCATTTATGATCATTTTAACAACAAAAGAATCAAATTAAGATGAGATTCCAAAACAACAAACACATATATCATTAAGACTTTGAATATAAAAATGAGTACAAACGACTTAAATAAAAACAACATTAAACTAAAGAAAACAACCTTTGATTTATTATTTTTTAAATAATTTTTTCAAATAATTTTTTCATAAGGATGTTGAGAGATTACACCCAAAACAAAAACCAACAATTATTAAATAAATGTTGTGAATGATATTGGTGGTGTGAAAATTGATAACTCATATATTTATACATTTATACCATCCATTTCTAGTCTATTTGTGATGTTTTTAAGTTAAACTTATTGCGTTTTACCCTATTTTGTGTTAGTATGCAGCTGCATCTACTTTATAATCAAGTTGAAGGCAAAAGAAATGAAACACATGCCATTTTTGGAGCTGACCCTTATTTAAACTTGGAAACAAGTTTCGTGACCTGTTTTGAAGTCCAAATAAAGAATCCAATGCGAACCTGGCTTATTTGAAGACTAAGAACATAATGGGAAAGCAATGAGGATTTCTAGCCTGATTTGGAGGTGCCAAATAAGGCAAAAACGTGCCAAATAAAGGGTGATTTGTTAGGATCTCTTTGGAATATCTTGCAACCTCTTTTACCCCATAAAAACTTGCCTTTTAGCCACTCTTACAGACCCTATTTATTTTGGACGAATTTCACAACCCTAGAATCCTTTTTGTTATTCTCTCCTTTCACACACACTTAAATCCTAGCCGTTCCATATATTTCCACCATTAGGACTCATCGCATGAGGCTGTTCCTGGAGAAGTTCAACATCAGAATTGGTTCAAGGGTTTCCTCTCTTGAATTTATTTTCACTCATGTTGTTTATGTTCGTTTTAATCTCTGTGAACATGATGTGTAACTAAATTCATAGCTAGGGATTTCAATGTAGCCTTGCAACATTGATCCATGTTTCTAAGTTAAAGTATTCAGTTCATCAATCTGCTTCTTGTTTCATTCACTGAATCTATTGTTAAATTTGTTTATCAATTTTAATGTTTGATCACCATTAGGGTTGCCTACAAATTATCTGGACAAGGTTATAGTAAACATCATGCTTAATCTTGCTAGACATGTGAATGAATGAAGAAAATGCTATGCAAACATCCTGCCGTGTATTTTCTTTAGTTCTTTAACGTTTTCTTGCATGCTAATGACTCTTAACTTGGAACTAAAGTTGAACATACCAATTAGGTTGTAGCTTAGGAGAATTTTATCAAAACCACACATCATATGGTTGATCATATTTATGTAAAACGAACTATGGGAACAGGTTGGTAGTTGAATATGGTTTAATTTTATAAACATGGAATTGGTTTTGCAATGGTGAATTTGAAATCCCTAGCCTTATCCCTATTCTTTCTACATCAATATATCATTCACTGCTACATTCTTCTTGCAATTTAAGTTATTTTTCATTTACAACGCAAAAACTACTTTCAATTTGTCACTTTCATTTTTAGTTAGGGTCAAAACTAGTAATTAATAAAGGTCCAATCGGTCCATGTGGTTCGACACCCTTACTTGTACCCAAGGATTAAAATATCGGTCGTGCAGATAATATTGGGCCTCCAATTTAAGGATATTTCGAGAGACATATCGTTATCGTTTTAGATATCGGAAAAAAATCAACAAAAATGACAGATAAGGCATTGAAACACATAATTTTGGTGCAAAACTTTCATAGATGTTATGTACATTATCAATGAATGTGTTGAACAAATAAGACTCAAAATTTACTAATAATAAGATATACATATGATGAAATATAAGTGGTATGTAATGCACATTAATGAAAAGTTTGAAAATGAAATGTTGATTAGAATGAATAAATAATGCATAAATCCATAGTTTGTTTAAACATTGGATTACAATTTAGAGAAGTGTCTATCTATATAAATAAAGAACTCCTATGAGGTTCAAACAATGAGGAACAACCATCTGGATTCATACAATAGTCATACCATGTCATGTAACCCGAGTAGTTTGTAAGCCATGTTTGAACATGATGCACATAGGTATCTCTTGAGCTCCCTACTGTCCTTCCATGTATGAGATAGTTAGGATTAGCCCAACTAGTAGGTCCATAATCTGTTTCATCATCTTGAGCTCCATAACTAGTTCCACTATAATCAGACATGACATAACCATAGTCATCATAAGATTCATTTGAGTTAGTATTAGGTCTAGTTCATATGCTCATATATCCAAAACTGATTGCCATGTCCTCTTTAGATGAGTTAGAGGTATGTGAGCAGTGGATTGTGTATAGATTCTTCATATTAATAAATTATAAGGTTCTAAGCAAGGATTATCTATTTTTGAGGTTTCAATTTGCTTCAATTGCCTTTAAAACTTCTGAATTTTTTTTGGGTTCTGGTATGGGTATCAGGAAATATCGGGGATATTAGCGAAATATTGAGGATATCACACTTATTGGGGATATATCGTCGATACATGGGAAGATATGGCCTTACCTCTCAATATCGGTGTCAACAGTTGAAAATACCGATATATCTATATCGATGTATCGGTCGATATTTCAATCCTTGCTTGTACTAGTATACTAACCATATATTGACACTTGGAAGGAACACAACAAAAATCTTAAAGTATGTGTGTTTTATAGGGAAAATTGAATTGCGCAATAATAATAATAAAAAGTGTTGAATAATGCTTGAGTAGCTGGAGCATCTTCAATGATGAGGGTGAGTATTCATTTTCAAAAACCGACTGTTGGATGGGCAAAATTTGGTTGAATGCATGTGCTGATGGACGAGTAAATGGAGTAGCTGCATTGACGAGAGTGAAGCAGCTTTTGGTGTCACTCATATGGACTCAACTTTTTTCTTCCGTGTGGGGCCTGCTCAGGCTATAGGGGCTCTATGCATGTCCATAGATTTGGAGAACTCTCCAGTGGGGCTTCATCATTTAGAGCCCAAAATCAATGCCATTGGGGATTGCTTTTTGGTTTTTTTTTGGTTTTTTTTATTTTTTTATGTCAGTGTAATTCTATTCAAATAAATTGAAAAGGATTACAGAAGGTGGAGAACCACAAGCTAAAGAAAAACCGAACACTAGCACAACAAACAAATAAAGGGCCAAACAATAAAGTACATAACAGACAAAGTGAAGGCCCAAAAACAAAAGCCTAAACTGAAAAAACAGAAAACCCTATATCTGAGCATAAACCACAGTTGTGCCACCCAGAAACCACCTGCTGCAACACCATCACAAATCCGCAATCACCGAGAATGAGTAACTAGTAACAACACATACCAAAGGTCCAGGCGGAAGATGTAGGGGGGGAACTGGCCACCCGCACAAAACGTGCTCCCATAATCCAAGGGACAAGAGTTTTAAACGCATCCCCACACCACAGATAGATACCGCCACCTAAAGGACCGTAGCAACAGAAAAAGTAATTTTTAATGCTTTTCAATATACACGGCCCGCTAATTTTTCATGCTTTTGCAGGTTCAGTTTTCAAAATGTGGGGCTTGCTGGGGCTCTAAAGCCCTATGCAAGTCCACAAATGTAGGATTATCTCCATCCAGTTTTATGATATAGAGCCCAAAAATTCTTTCATTGGGAATGCGTTTTTTGTACTTGAGCTCTATATTTATGAGCCCTAAGGTAGTAGAGCCCAATTTAAAACCCCTATTGGGGATGGCCTTAGAACATGCAATTTAAACTCTGAAAAAGGCACAGATCATATTATGTTATCTTCATCTTCTTTTTTTTGTTTTTTTAATCGGGAAGATACTTTATTGACTACCTACAAAAACTACAGCTCCTCCCTACCTTGGTGGTGACTCAGAAGAAGTCCGAAATAATGTTACGCTTCCACCTTGGTGGTGACTTTTGTTTAACGTTTAGATAGATTGCACGTTCAATTCAGGCAGCAAGAGTGCCTACAAGGTCACGTCGTTAAAAATCGATCAAGGAATGACAATGATGCCACGGACGGATTCACTCCCAATCCCAAAGAAGAAAAAAGAAAGAAGCTAAAAACCCAAAACAAAAACAACAAAAAAACCTGCCACGTGGCATCATGTCAAATGGAGCTTGTATGTATGTGGGCCAGGGCCCACTGCGCACTTCCTCTATGTAGGAGCTTGGGTCTTGCCACGAGTTTTTCCCATGCTTGATCGGCCTCCACGTGGTGCTTGAAGAAAATTTGTGTGGCATCGATCGAGGCGGTGCATGTTCCAGTTTCGTCGGCTCTGCAGGTGACGGATCTTTTGCAATTGGCAAGCGCTTTCTTTAATTTTAGAAATAGCCGCTCGGGTTTCGTCATCTTCAGTTCTCCTGACCTCATCCAGCAAACCCACCGTCCGATCGATGTAGGAATTCGAACCACCGGCGATGAAGATCGATTCGATGTGCTTGAAATAATCGGCCGTGAAGTTTGAGTTCGGATCGATTTCGCGTAGCAAGTGGTGAGGTATGCCTCTACACTCCTCCTCAGTGACTTTGTCCAGGCCTTTGTAGACTTGCATTTTGTCAGAGTTTATAATCTCAGCAGGGAAACGGGCTGCGAGGTCTATGGAAAGCCTGGACTTGCCAGTCCCGGTGGCTCCCATGACATGTAAGATTTCAATTTTGCGGATGTAAGCAAAGCATGCCTCATCACAAGAAAAATGATTGTTTGGACCACTGTACCTTTAATAACAAACTTGTTGCTGTAGAGAAAAACCAGAGAGAGAGATTGCCTGAGCGGAAGGGATGAGCCTGGTATATGGCATTTATGGAGGTGGGAAAAGGCTTTAAGGCAAGCGAGTATGAAACTCTTGCGAGTAACTGGACTTCCTTTTCCTCATCGATCACCAGACGGGCCAGACCCAAAGAGCCTTTTGGGCCAACTCGAACTTAAGGTTTCCATACCCACGTGGCATCTCCATTGCCACGTCAGCAACGACAGTAATCACAGAGAGAGAGAGAGAGAGAGAGAGAGAGAGACGGAGAGATCAGGGACCTTGGCCATCTCTCTCAAGTTTGATGCGGATTTGCAAATTATCACATTTCTTACCAAATCTTCACCTGATATTTTCATTCATACCCAATAAATAATTCAATTAAATAATAATAATAATGGCATTCAATCGGAGCTTCTGACATGAATCTCTCGTCGTCCTCGTCTGCTTCTTCGTCGTCTTCGACCGGTTCGTGGTTCTCCGGCGTGGTCCGCGGCCGGTCGGACCGGTCCGGGTCCGTCAAGATGGGCTCGGATTCTGTCTCCGGCGGTTCCGGCGACTTTTCTGGTTCCGTTGTACGGAAGAACCAGTTCCGAGGCGTGCTCTTCAAGTACGGCCCAAAGCCTATTCAGGTCTGTCAGTCTGTAATTTTATGTTTCCTCCGGATTGTGCTGCATTTAATTCAAATTTTAGTGGGTCGTGGAGTTTTGAGAGCTCGATCTCTGTTTGGAAGTTGGAGTTTTTGTAAGAATTGGGGTGAGTGATGCCATTTTGTTATTGAAAACTGCCATTTTTAACTTCTAGGTAGTCTGAATTATGTTGAAGGGGTGCTTTTAAGATTTGAATTTGGTGGGTAAATTTTTTTTTTGAGCAGTTTCCGATTACCGAGTTTGGGATTTGAGGTGAAAGGCCGGAACTTTGGTGAAAAAGGTTAAGATGGGTTTGGTGACATGCAAAGTATATGTGAAGTAGTTCACTGGCGGCTATGAGAGATCGGCATTTCGAGAACGATAGTATTTTCAAAATTTCAATTGCCAGTCAAAAAACGCAATTTTTATGCCTTAGCTAGTCTGAATTATGTTAGTGCGGGTGGCTTTTATTTGAATGTGGTGAGTAAAATTAAAACTACCAATTACTGAGATTAGGATTTGAGGTGAAAGGCTGGAACTTGGTTGAGAAGGTTAATTTAGGTTTTGGTAACTTGCAAATTATATGTGAAGTAGTTCAGTGGCTGGCAGCTATGAGCGAACAGCATTTCAAGAATGATAGGGTTTTCAAGATTTCAATTGTTTCGGTGGTCTTGCTTACGGAAACAAAGAGGAGAAGTTACCTAGTCCTGCTGTTGGAAAGTTCAGTTGTGTCTACGCTGTAGACTGTACCTATTCTTTAATTCATACCATTTGGTTTTAGTGGTTTGGTTTCGGTTGGGCACGTTTTGTACAGTTAAATATGGAAACTAAATTTGAGTATAAAATGCTCATAGGATTAGGTAAATTGGATTTTAGGATTAAGGCTAACATTCAAACAAAGAAAAGTTACTCTCTTAGTATGGGCTTAATTCAACCAGACTATACTGTGGATATCTTTTCCCTTTTTGCAGTGCATGACTTATTTAAGTTATTTTGTTCAAAAGTTATTTTGTTCAAAAGTTATTTTGTTCAAAAGTTATTTTGTTCTGGAAAATCATCCATTTTGATTTAATTGCTGTTTGTTATTGTTGTCTAGTGTAGTTCATTCACTATGCTCATTTTTAGGACTCTATCTTCCATGCTTATACGTTAATTTTCTTGATGACATGTTGTGTTAATGATAATTATCCTCAACATGCAGGTTGCATTTAAAACAGGTGATTATAGACAACAAGTCATTTTTATTGGTGGACTGACTGATGGTTTTCTGGCAACAGAGTATGTTACATTGCTTGTGAACTTCTTTTCTTTTTGTAGTGACATTTTGTCTCCCATCCCAATGTCTGTTTGTGTGACTAGATTACATCTTATGCATGATTTTCACTCAGAGTGATTTTCTTAATTTAATACAGGGATATTCACTCTACAATGATGCTGGTTATTTAAAGCAAATTTTAAAAATGTTTTATTCCTATTTATCTTTCTTTTATCTGGTGTACAGTTACTTGGAACCTCTTGCAATTGCTTTGGACAAGGAGAAATGGTCACTTGTTCAGCCACTCTTGTCATCTTCATACAGTGGATATGGCACTTCCAGCTTGCAACAAGTAACTTATTTTTAACCTGTCACATTCAGTAGGGGAAACATTCTTCATAGGTCTTGATTAATCCACTGCTTCCTATGTTCTTATGTACAATATATTCTTGTAAGTTGCAAGACAGTTAGGGTTCAGTTGTATTGTATCTATATTAGTTTAAGGATCCATGGTGACTGGTCTGGACCTTTTCATCAAGATTTATGAGACTATTATTCATGTTTGATCTTTCTGTTTTAATTGGACTAAGTTGGGCTGAAATTGGGCTTTGATTACTTATTTAAAATACACATATGTACATATATTTTATTGTTCCCTGGTTTTGGGGTTTGGACATTGAGTTACAAAATATTGGTGCTTTTACTTATAAATTGCATTGCCTTTTGTATTGAAGGATGCAATGGAACTTGATCAGCTGATCAGTCACTTTATAAACAAAGAAGATTCTGAGGGTGTGGTACTGCTTGGCCATAGTACTGGCTGTCAGGTTTGTGTTGATTGCATCTTAGATATGAACTTATGACGATGTGATACCATTGCACTCATCATTATCACTTTTTGGGGCTTATAGTTACAATTCCATATTTTTGGTTATGACTCTAGGATATTGTACATTACATGCGCACAAATGCTGCATGCTCCCGAGCGGTCCGTGCTGCCATTCTGCAGGTAGTACCCTTTCCATACTTTGAAGTTTTTAATTTATATTGATATGAAAATTTGAATGCAAATAAATTCAAGATGCTAAAAGCACTTCATTCGTAATTAATGCGTTGAAGATTATCATCTTGTCATTTGGGTGTAAAGTTGGCTTCCCTTCTTTTCTGCGCTTACTGGTTGATTCCATCAATTGATCGATTATAAGTTGTGGTTGATTGAAAATATGCTGGTAGAGAGATTTACACTCAAAACTAAGATATTTTCATAAAATAAATGTCTTTTCTAACTCATAGTATGCGTACATCTTGCTAAGCTATCTTTCATTTGATGTCTGATGATTGATGTAAAAGTTCTTCTTCTTGCTTACGGCGACATCTTTTACCCTTGTTGGCTATGTGCACCTTTACTTGAATCTTTGGTGGTAATGCCAACTAAAATGTTCAGGCTCCAGTCAGTGATCGGGAATACAGAGCAACTCTTCCCGAAACAGCTGCTATGATTGACTTGGCTTCAACCATGATTAGTGAAGGCCGTGGGTCGGAGTTATTGCCAAGTGAAGCAGATCCAGGAGCCCCAATAACTGCCTATCGGTGAGTATACACCCATATTATCATTATCTGAAGTAATAAATATGAAATTGAATTATTTATTACCAGTTTTTGGGATAATATTTATTTGGAAGGAATTGGTTTTAAAATGCAAAGAGGTGCACAAGAGGTTTGGCTGGTCTGGATCCGGTACGAGCCTGATCTAATTATATAGAGATGTACAATGTGTCTGTTGCACCATGACGCTAAGAAATTGTCTTGCTACTTAGCCACCGAGTTCCATATTGTCTTTCTTTGCTGCTATTTTTCATTGTCTAAAGAACGAATTGCCTTGCAGGTATCACTCTCTTTGTGCATACAACGGGGATGATGACTTGTTTAGTTCTGACCTTACTGACGACCAGCTGAGGTTGAGACTTGGGCACATGGCTAACACACCTTGCCAGGTCCTTATTTAATTTTCTTATTTGCAAGAAAGAGTGTTTGTAATGTATCTTAATTTGATTTAAAGTAAAATTTTAGGCGAGATGTTAACAACTTGAGCAGAGGAAGTAAATAAAAGAATTTCAGAATAAGACTATTACTATATTTTCAGCCAGGCAAGTTCATAATAACACAACTCTTTTAGAGGGGAAAAAAGATAGAAAACAGGAAGACAAAGGTATAAAAATATTGCTCAAGGATTCAGCTCAGTAAAAATGGTCAATACATTATCAGCCTCTTGGTGACAAGCATGCGTTTTGTTTACCTTTTACAAGAAGGATGTTGCTTTCTGGTTTAGTGAATGGCAATATCAATGAGTACAAATTAAGTCATTTTTTTTTATGCAGGTTATGTATTCCATGGCTGATGAATATGTGCCAGACTATGTTGACAAGAAAGCATTGGTCCAAAGGTAAGATACCGAAACTATTTTGCTTATTTGACATAAATTTCATTTTCTTCAAGAAGAAACAAAAAATAATGCCTTACAGCATGCTAATCTCTTTTCCTGTGGTGCTTGCATGTGCACACTGGAGCTGTGCATGTGTAAGGGTTTAATCTATGATGTGATTAAACAATTGTGTTGGTATCATGGATCTCATGCAGATTGTGTAAAGCAATGGGTGGTGCAGAGAAAGTTGAAATTGAATATGGTAATCACTCCCTTTCTAACAGAGTTGATGAAGCTGTCCATGCCATTATTGATTTTGTTAAGAGAGAGGGACCTAAAGGCTGGGATGATCCGTGGCATTAGTTTAGTGTGTTGCTCTATTTTCCTCCATTTTCAATTCTAAATTCTTTCGTTTTATTCCATTTATTCCCTGTCTTTAATTTTCTCAGCTTTCAGTCTTCTTCTTCTTCTTCTTCTATATAGAAAATTCCAAGTGAATTTCGATCTTATTTTGCTCACGCCGTTGAGATTGTGTCGAACACTCTTCTTTTGTTAACTCATCGGGAAAGGAAATAGAAAAGAAAAGAAAATATTTTGCACCTTTTTCTGGGTTTAGCATTGTGGAATCAAACTGATGATTTTGAGGTTTGGTTTTGTGTTTGAACACTTGATATTTTCTTCATATGAGATACTTTATCATCATGTTCTCCTCACAGACTGGATATACTACAAACCAGAAAAGCTTCATTTACATCGACCATATTTTATCTTTACACTTGAATTGAGGTCTCTGGATGCATTCAAATTGCTTGTCCAATCATGTGAACATAATCTTTTGGGATTTATTTCAAGATTGAATTTGGCTGCACCATCAAAGAACTTTCATTATTCGCATAAGACAGTGCCAATAAAGCTGTTTAAAGCAGTGACTCACGTTATAACTTGTCTTTTAGCTCTGAATTTTGGTGATTCTCTGCCTTTGTAGGGCTGGTTTTAGCTTTATGTGGTAGGATTTTTGCTAAGGTGAGTCGCCACACGATTTCTAATCGTAATGTGATTTCTACCGGGATCAATTGCGTGGACCATTTACTTTAACACGACTTAACTAATAGTAATTAGTATACGGGACGGGAGGGTAGGACGATGGAAGGTGGAAATGGATTTTTCTGGTAGATGTCGGGTGGGGTTGGTACGAACCATTAGTGTGCCCACAATGTCTTTGAACAACGTCAAATTCCGCAACTTCTGAATTACTTGTTGTTTTTTGTGTGGATAAGTTAGAAGAAAAGTGAAAAGAAAGATCACAACACTTTGACACTAAGACAAAGCTGTTCCTCTCTATCTTAGGAAAAAAGCCATTTAGAGCTTCACACACTGCAACATCACTTTTAACCTTTTTGCCATCTTCTTTGAAAATTTGGCTGCCACCCACTTTAATTTGTAATTTGATTAAACCAATTATTCTTCCTTCATGGTCCACAACTCTCTCACAAAGCTCACATCTGGACGGTTAAAATCAAAAGAGCCTTCTTCCCATTTTCTTTGCTTTTTCCACACGTCCATCCTCCGATGCGTGTTCATGGGGCTTGTATTTTATTAGTTGGCATTCTGATCTCATGTCCAGATTTAGGCAGACGAATTTCCACCACCTATGATTACGTGTTTATTGTCATATAGTTATTTATATGTCGATTTCTATAAAATATTCCAATTTCCAAATCTATTATTATTCTAAATACATTTAATTTAATTATTTTATACGAAAGATAAAGAGTGGAGGCTATCTACATGACGCATTTTGTTTTATATTTTTACAAATAAACCCATTTTAGTAAATGAATGTATGTTGACAGCACAAAAAGAATAAGAATACAACCCAAAATGCCGAGAGGAAAACTCCCCAAACTAAAAGGAACAAAAGCCAACCCAAAAAACGGCCACACAACAAAGGAACAAGCTGACCAACATCACCATCAAAATAACTGAAAAAACTCAAAACAAAGAAACAAAAAATTAGCCAAATAAAAACACAAGCCGGGAGACAACAGCACCAAAATGCAAACAAGAACCCTAAAGACAAGCTGCTTAGCAGTTAAACGAAACCATCGAGGCACCCAAAGAGAGCCAAGCCTGAAAATCCAATACCAATAATATATATATCAAGGCAGGAAGCTGTTTTCAGGAAAGCAAATGCAAACTGCAGGGAGGACAGGCTACATTTCAATCTGATATTCTTCTTGTTCATCATCACGATCTTCAGAACCCCAAAGGGAGGAATCTGGGCCACGTGATCAGGTGATTGATTAAGTTGTATTATTATTAATTCTCATGTACCTAGCTAGCTGCATGCATGTGTTAATTATTGGTAATTAGTGTGCCCTTCTTCCCCTACGTAAAAATATCAATTGTTGTTGCTTTCTTCAAGCATGGGGTTTCTGTTAGAGCACTTCCACCCATTTGCCATGGTAAATGGTAAAGGGAGACAATGGCTGTTACTATTCACGTGAATAGTGACAGCCCTTGCAAAAGGCAAAGTGTGTTTCCACCCATTGCCATGGCAAAGGGCTGTTAGATGATATCACAAATGTTCTTAATTAGTTTACTATTTAAGTGGGGGGTTAAGTCAAATTTACTATTTGCTAAAATAGGCCCTTGTAACTCAAACACCACAGATGATAACCCACCAATAATACAACGTTTAAGTAAAACTCAATTTTAAAATTGGATCACAACGTGTCCATGTAAGTTGATTTATTTACAAATCATGCCACTATATCTTTATTTGGTGGCTAACTGTTTTTCATCCCCTATTTTAATGCAAATGAATAATACCTCTCACTATACATTTATATTAGATGATGTTATGTACATTAACATTTTCATGCCTACATATATTACATCATATGACTAATAGGAGAAAATAATAGATTATTTTACGATTGTCATACATCCCCTATGAAACCAGATGCACACTTAGGTGCAAATAGAAGACTTGAAAAGCAATGCAAGCAATCATAAAAGAAAAATAAACTAGATATAAATTTTGTATTTTAATAATAAGTCATGAAGTAGGTATATTATTTATTTTTTTTAAAATAGGTAGATTATTATCCATGACAAATTAGGTACAGTAAATCGATCCTGCGGCATTTTTATTGAACCAAAAAAAAAGATGGAATAAAATTTCAAATAGGCAAGCAAATTAAGGAAAACTAAGCATTTCCGGCCAACTCATTGTTGACTATATTTAGTAATTCATTTTAATAATAAAACGCTGCATACAAAACTTCTTAAGGGAATCACCACAATAAACTGGGGAACCGAAAATTAAAACACCATTTCATTACATGTTGAATTGTAAATAGGGGTATTTTTGGGAATTAAAAATTATAATAAATCAGATATTGAGCTTAATGAGTTGGATCTTAGTCATGAGTTTTTACTTATTAAAATTGAGTATTATTTATAGGAATAAAAAGTAAGGGGTTGTAGGTAACACAAATTGAATTTGAAAGATGTATGTCAAATTTACTATTTAATTAATGTGATTATAGATATGCCACGACATAATAACACGTTATGCATCAACTGACTTCACAAACTTGTTTATATGTGACAGCTTACCTACCAACTCTAACAAACTACTAATAATCACTTTATTTCACTTCAAAATCGGCTATGGGTAGCGTTATCTACACTTATAAATAAGCTTTGTTTTTTTGTTTGTTTTCTCTTCTAATGATAATTTCATATTGTCTTTTGTTTATTCGAATCTGAATACGTTCCACCTCTTAATTGTTCTTTGGTTTGTATTAGCATACATATCATCAAAGTTTATACTAAAATCATTGTTTAAGAACTTTGGATTAATTTCCAAAAAAATACACTGCTCGACTTCTTACAGATGATGAGTCATTCTTTACTATATGTAGATTATAAACCGACTCATATACTTCAGTGACTTGTACAAAATACAAAAAAATAAATTTCTACGTATATGTCAAACTATAAATTGTTTGTTGAAGAAAATACTACTTCTTGAATCTAAGCGACTAAGTATTTTCCCTTTTATAGTCATAGTCACATAATAGCGTTGTTTTTAAAACCTTAAAACATCTATCTTATAATGGAAAAACAACAATTTAGTTATAAACAATTGATTTTTGTCAGTGTTTCACCGTGTAAATCCACGGAGTTTTTCTTTTTCTTTTTCTCTTGCTTAATGGGTCGGCTCCTCGGGTTTGGCCTTTTCTGCGTCCGACAATCACTCAAACATCTACACGTGATTCCAGGTGGCACGACGTCCCAAACCACCGTCACCATGCACAATCAATTTCATAAATGCATCAAAATGACATAAACACCCCTTCCTCACCCACGCCGACGCCCCTACCTATTGGCCACCCTGTCGGTGATCCACTATCCATCAACCTCACCTCCACTTCCTCCTAAATATCAGGGGCATTTCCGTCCACAAACATTATTACCAGCTTCCCGGTAGGAGCTCAACTCCCTCCTAAAATCTAATAAATATTTTTCTGCACTAATATTCAATATATGTTGATAACTATTTTTATTTCTTTTTTCCCCCAAGACAAGGCTAATGAGTATATATGTTTTTTTTTTGCAGAGCTTTATAGTAAATTTATACAACTAGAAAGAAAATAAAGAGAGAGAGTCTCTCTCCTTTTCTCTCACGAGTCTCAAGCCCTGTCCTTGAAGGCTTCGGATACCAGAAACAGAGTATAAAAAAATCCATCTGACCAGAAAAAAGAAGAAGAAGAAGAAGAAGAAGAGAGCTGCATTTTATAATTTGTCAGAGTGATTCTCTCTGCTTTCCAGAATTAAAGAAGCAGAAAAAAAATATATATATTTCTCTAACATTGTACAACACACACAGAGACCAAGTAAGTATTAGTGTTAATTTTTTCTTTTTTGCTTTTTGGCTACTATTATTATATGCACTGCCTTGAAAAATCCGAGAAAAACATATTCCTTGTCGTCAAAGTTAAGAGCTTTCTTGTAATCGAAAAAAGATAACAGCTTTTTAGCATTTGGGTTGGCTTTAGTTTATTGTTGTTGACGTTGTTTTTGTTGCTGTTGCTGTTGTGGGTTTTGCAGTCGTGAGATGCCGGAGAAGGGACTGAGCTGGCCCTCATCACAGCCATGGAGTCTAAGTCCAAGGTCGGGTCCTTTGCTTCATTGGCGAGTTGGGGTTTTAACAGCTCTGGTTATTGTTGGAATGGTGGTCATTTGGAGCGTCGATGCAAGAACTATGCAGAGCTTCGTTACAAGGTCCCGCCAAGCTTACCTCGTCACAAAGGTTAGTGCTTTAACTAATCTCGCCCAAAACCATGAAAATGGGGAGTTTAGCTCCTTCCACATTGCGGCAAATCAGACCAAGAACCAAACCAAAGTGACCCAGTTCAAAACCCACTTTGATTCTCATGACCCAGTTAATCTTTCGCGTTCTGAGTCGCTTTCTGAGCCTAATTCAACTGGGGTTTCTGTAAAGTTGGATATAAATCAAACGCATCCTGTAGTTCCAGCTGATTTGAGTTGGGTTTCAGCTGGATTAGAGCCTAACGTCACAAAGAATCTTTTAGCTCGGTGGCTAGCTCCTGGAGGAGAGCCTTGCAGAGCTTCTAAAACAGTGGAAATTGCAATTCCTGATTTGGATGGTAGGGATCTAATTGAGTTACCAGCTGGCGAAATCTATGAATTTGGTTTTCGAGCACTGAGTGATGACAAGAAGCCTCGCTGTTTAGGTGGGGATTACTTTGAGACTGATCTTTCTGGGGACTCATGGAAATCTAGGCCTGTTGTGAAGGATTTTGGCAATGGATCTTATTCTGTCTCGCTTCAAATTCATCCGGACTTTGTGGGGTTATACAATCTAACTATTATTCTCCTTTTTAGGCATTTTGAGGGTCTAAAATTATCACCACACCGGTTTGTGTATGATCGAGAGCTTCGAAAGATACCAATCAGGTTTACCAAAGGCTCCGCTAAATTGCCAGAGCCACATACGTGCAAAGAGTCCGATTTTGGAAGAGAGATTTGGACTGGAAGGTGGACTAGGCATGCCAAGAATGATGCTTGTGAAATTAGTGAAGATGGTCGGTACCGGTGCCTAGCCCCAAATTTTCCTTGCCCAAGTCCATGGTGCAATGGTTCATTGGGTTTGTTGGAGAGTAATGGTTGGGTTTACTCCGCACACTGTTCTTTTAGGTTGTTTTCAGCTGATGCTGCTTGGAATTGCTTGAAGAACCGGTGGATTTTCTTCTGGGGTGATTCCAACCACGTCGACTCAATACGAAACATTCTCAATTTTATCTTGGATCGGCCTGATATACCTGCAGTTCCTAGACGGTTTGATATGAATTTTACAAACCCAAAAGACCCTTCACAGACAGTTCGAATTACAAACATTTTCAATGGTCATTGGAATGAAACACAGAATTACCAAGGTTTGAATTCTTTGCAAAATGAAGGATTTAGGAATTTGATAAAGAAGTACTTCTCAGAAGACACGGTTCCAGATACTGTAGTCATGAACTCTGGATTACACGATGGGGTAAAATGGTCTAACATAAGATCATTCATTAATGGGGCAAGCTATGCAGCATCATTTTGGGTGGAAGTTATGGAGTCAATAAGGCAGAGAGGATTGGCAGTTCCAAGAGTCATTTATCGTACCACAGTAGCTACCGGCGGGTATGCACGAGCTCTGGCATTTAATCCTAGTAAGATGGAGGCATTCAATTGGGTATTGTTAGATAAATTGAAGGAAGCTGGGATCCTTTCTGGTGTAATTGACAATTTCGATATGACCTTCCCGTGGCATTACGATAACCGGTGCAATGATGGTGTACACTATGGCCGACTTCCTGCAAAGATGAAGTGGAGAGATGGCGTGATCGGGCACCATTATTTTGTAGATCTTATGTTGGATCATATACTGCTGAGTGCACTTTGTGCCAGCTACCAAGATTCTGCAAGCAGGTGAAGCAATTCACTTTTTGAGGCAATTTTAGAAGGAAAATGGTGCTTTGGCGCTATGCTATCAAGAGAATCTCAGATGCAGGCCCTTCCCAGAATGCCGGAATGCATGGTATTTAACACAGTTCTGCTGGTGCTTCAAGGCAGAGTGTGAGATGGTGCATTCATTATTTTGATCCATACTGTTCATTAGATTGGCTTTATCATTCTTTATTTGTTTATGTATAGTTACATATGGTTTAGAAGATGAAAGTACTTTGAGGATGACTAAGAATGCCTAGAGGTGAATAGGCTAATTTAAAATTATAATCAATAAATAAAAATAAACTTCAGTAGCATGATTGATATGGCTTATCAATTCTAAATTGTGTAGAGCATAAAATAAAAAGAACATGCAAAGAATTATTTTACATGGTAAAACTCCACCTTTGAGGAAATTCATGGGATTTTTTAGTCCAAAACAAATTCACTGTAGAACGATAATTACAAGAAGTACTCACATACTTATCCTAGGCACATTCTAGATATTGTTTATTGACTTTTTCGTAACTCAACTTTTGTCACAAAATTATCTTTTGACACTTCTTATGTTGAACGCAATACTGATCACGATTGCTTCAAGCTCACCGGAGTTCTTCCAACTCTCCTTATGTTGAATCTGATACTGGTCACGATCGATTCAAGCTCACTAGAGAAAAACCGCCACAACGATCTTGGTGCCCTCAATCGTATGAGTCACCAAACATCTAAATGAATTAGACACCATTGATCTATCACTAGCATGAATGCAGCCTGTCATGTAAAAAAACCAGAATCAAGTGCAGAAGCAAAATCTTTACAAGCTTCAGCAAAGATATCTTCCTTTTTACAGCCTTGCTGATAAATTTAAAACAGGGCACAAAAGTGGCCTAAATTCAGTTATAATCGAAGATTATTTCCTCTTCATCTTCAATATCAGGACATACAACTAATTTACTGTAATTGGGTCTTTTCTTTTTTTCTTTTGGTCACAATTTTAGTTTTTAATTTGGTATCATGTGATTCTGAAGAAACTCTTCTAGGATCCAAGATGGAAAGGTACCTTTCACTTTTAACTGTACCTCATTTTGTCCGGCTTATTCCTCATTGCACCTTTCCAATTTTCCCTTTAAAGTGCATTAAAGCGTATGTATGGTCCACAAATTTCCATTTTAACTGGCATGCAAGGACAACTTGCAAAATTTGTGTTTTTAGACTCCGTCGGCATTCGGCAAAATTTGCCAGCCAACGAGGCCTAGTTTAGTGATTTAAACTATCGCTTGTATATATATATATAAATAAAAAATTCAGTCTCTCAACCACACAGATTAGGGCCTCCAAATTATTTTTCCCTCATTTTAATTTCTAATCAAGACCCAAATGAAATGCCAACGAATCCAATGAATCTTGAATGACAACACAATGATTAGCATACCTGCATAATTCAATAGGAATTAGCTGGCCGTCAGCATGTTTGGTTCCTCGGTGAGCCTGCCTTGATTCTTGGAAGGGTTGGTTTAGCTAAACTTGGTCAAGTTTTAATGCTAATGAATGGTGGTATAACAATAACACAAAAGAATTACTCGAACAGTAGTTCCTTACCTAAGCTCGAAATCCCAACTCTTATCCAATAAACCAAACACTAACAAAAATGTTAATTAGACTTTATTCTTCAATAAGTATTTTATATTAAGAATTGGTTACATACTTCTAATATTGACCGTTGAATTGTATCAAAGAGATTACCAACACATTTAATAAGATGTAATCCAACAGTCGACATTAAAAGTATATGACCAATTCTTAACTTAAATACTTATTGGAGAATGTCCCATTATAATCGCTTTTTTTTTTTCTTCTCTTATGTAACACTCCAAAATGGGACAAACGTAAAATTGATGAAAGATATTTGCATCTGCGCCATAGTCAATCTTGAAGACCGGTAACCCCAGGCCCCAATAAGAAGTTGAGGATCAAATTGTCCTAAAACGTAAAGCCAGCATGAGAAGGGAGAAACCCAACTCAAACCATCTTTCAGTGAATAATGTCCGGCCCATTTATAGCACATAACCATCTTTGAAGTGTAAGAGCACTTTCACCTATTTGTCATGGCAAAGGAGAAGGGAATACAAGGGCTGTTACTATTTATATAAATAGTGTCAATGCTTATAAAAGGCAAAGTGTGTTTCCACCCATTGTCAAGGCAAAAATCAATTACTATTCACTTTAAATTATTATTTTTATTTATACATAAACGATTAATTTTGATAGGGTTTAGGGTTTTGGTGTGAGAAGTAAATAATATGACTGTATTTATTTAAAGGCAAAACGTCACTTTTGGTCCATGTGGTTTTAATTTGATCATTTTTGTCCCAATAATTTTCAAATTAAGCAATTCAAATCCAATCTCCAATTTCTGTCAAATCAGGTTAACTGTTGTTACTTGTTGAGGGGCATTTAAGTCCAAAAACAAGAAAAGACAGAAGGAAAAAAAAAAAGGGTAAAATATAGGAGAAAAGAAGTCGTTAGCCACACAACCAGCCCACACGTCAACACCACACTGTCCAGTCTCCACCATCTCCTCTACCCGGTACAACTCCACCATCGCCATCTCTCTCCCATCTCGTTTTTCTTTTTTTGGATTCCAATCTCTCGTTTCTCTTTCCATACTCTTTCTTTCACTTGGTTGACCCAAAAAAACAACCTCTTTGATGAATTGTTTGTTCCTCAGAGAATATCACAACAACAGCCAAACAATCCATATGGGCCATATATCCATGGCTTTTTCTCTCCTAAGTCTCATGTTTGTACAAATCAGGTCTCCCATCCCATATATCAGAAAGCTCTTTTGCACTGAATAGATTGAAAAGAGATGTTATAATCATGCCACCAAGCCAACAAAATTGGATGAATACAAAACAACAAATAAATGGCAAAAGAATACAAAAGGCACCTATTGAAGTGCCCTCAGTTTCCTCTCATGTCAAAAAGTCGGAAGCTTCACAACGTAATCACAGAAAAAGAGACAAACCCATCACAACCGCACCAACAAATTGAAGACCATGATCAGAAAGACGACGAAATAGAAGAAGTCTAGTGCCAAATAGCAAACTCCAACTTCCCTGGCGGCTCCGACACCTTCGAATAGCAGCCAAGTTCTGCTATGGCTTCAAGATCGAGGTGGTGGAGTTTACTGGGTTGGGGAGATTGGGGCGTGTGTGGTGGTTGGCATGTGGGCTGGTGGGGGTGGGTGTGGCTGACGGCTTCTCTTCCCCTTATATTTTTGTTTTCTCTCTTTCTTGTTTTTGGACTTAAATGCCCCTCAACAAGTAACATCAGTTAATCTAATTTGACAGAAATTGGATATTGGACTTGAAATGCTTAAATTGAAAACCATAGGGGCAAAAATAATGAAATTGAAACCACAGGGACCTTAGTGGTAAAAGTGGTAAACTACAGGGACCAAAAGTGACGTTTTGCCTTATTTAAAAAAAATCTGATTTTTTTGTTTTTTTTATTCTTTAGTTATTATTATTATTTTAATTGACTGCTAACGTCATCATTATGTCACTTGCCCAAACAGCAGCACGGACTGGATTTATATTTGGGCTTGCCGGGATTAATGGGGCCCATGCCTTGCACGGGCTTGCCCTTGCACGCTGGAATCGTCACGCAAGCCTAGGCCCTTTTCTGCCTAGGCTTCCCCTTACTGCTGGAAGTACTCTAAGTGCCCTACAACACCCCAAAAGAGAAGTGGTATTTTTTTATTTGTTAATCTCTAAGATTGTGAAAACAAAACAAAAAAAATTCACCCAAAAAAAAATACAAAAAAGTATTTTCATTTCTATAGGATTTCTAAGCTTATATAAATTTTACATACTGAACATAATCTCTAACATTGTGACAAAATATTATATTTTTCTCTTCTTCTATTTTTTGGTAATTCCTTGCAATTATTTTGACTTTTAGATAACAAGTAAAACTCATTTTTATTAAAAGGAGGAAAAAGGAAATGCAAAGGAAATATTGAAAAGAACCACACACACACACAAAAAAGAAAGAAAAAAAGAAGAAGAAGGCAGTAACGCGTTTGGAAAAAAACATGCCACATTGATAAGTTAAATAATTCACAAGGGATTCAGAAGCAAACTCCAGAAATAACGTTTAATCTCCACCAACACACACAGACGCACAGATGATCACAATATTAATCAATTATAGGACTTGTGCCTGCTGATCTGCTCTTTGTCAAACTCATTCTCATTCTCAATCCAAATCCCATCTCTGAAATTCCCAAATTGTTCTCCCATCAAGAAAAACGAAAAAAGATTTCTCAATTAATCAGACATACATAAAGATAAGAACACAAAAAAACAAAAACAGTGGTACCCAGAAAGAAGCAGGGCGGAAGCTTACGTCTTTTTGGAGCCAAATCAAATCTGGCAAACCTTGGAGGTTTGAGGCCTCGCTTGTCGTTGAAACAACCTATATACAACGACGACGACGAGGAGTGTAGGCCTTGGCGTCGAAGGTTCTTTATGGCTTTCACTTGGGGTTCTGCGCTCAGGATCACACTCCTCCTCCTCCTTGTGGCCGCTGTAGCCACTGCTTGTTTTACTCTCCCTGTTGAAAAGGTTCGGTTTTCTCATCTGGGTCTGTTTTGTTTCCATTTTTTGATTGCTCAATTTGTGAGTTTCTTCCTTGGTCGTTGTTTTCCCTTCAGTTTTCAATATGGGTTTTGCGAATTGGATGATTTGCTTGTGCCTTTTGTTCGATTTTGTGATTTATAACGTTATTCGTTTGTCTTTTTGATTTGGGTATGCATATTTTTTTGTTATTGAATTATTGGGTAGGTCTTACATTTCGAGTTGGGGGGGGGGGGGGGGGGGGGGGGGGGTGTGTGTGCAGACCATTGGTGGGATTTTTGGTTTGGCTGCAGTCGTGTGGAATATAGTTTCTTCCATTAGAGCTATGCTTTGGTAGTTTACATGTTTCTGACATTGACAGTTAAGTTGGAATGGAATTTGGGGGACGAGCCCAATTTGATGGGTTGGAAACTGGGATTATGCTTTCAAGCATGACTAAAATGCTGAGCTGAATTTGATTCTTTGTTCATTTCTAACTAGATTTTATGTCATTTGAATATTAATATGGATGTTGCTTTGCTGCTATAGCCTCCCCACAATCTCAGTTTTCCCTTTAGTTTAAAATGTGACAATGCAGTAGAACTTCTCTTTCTTAATTGCATAAATTCTGTCAGCTGCTGATATAGGAGGTTTATGTTGTGGATCACTTCCTTGAGACTTTTGTTAGCCCAAAATTTTGCCTTTGAAGCTTATACCAAATTCTTTTATTTGAATATGGTCCTATTTGTTGACTGATAAAATAACTACTACCTGCAGATTTTAAAGGACTTCTTATTATGGGTTGAGCAGGATCTTGGTCCTTGGGGTCCGCTTGTTCTGTAAGTAAATTGTAGCACTGTAATGTATGTGCAATTGTACCATTTTATTCTACAAAATCGTTTTTTTCCTTAGTTTTGGCCCTGACTAATAATCATGTTCATGTCTCATTTTGTTTGCTGTCATCATTTTAGTTGTACTATTAGAAGTTAGTCATAGTAACAGACTTCCTACATGTTGAATTTGTTCTCAAAGATGACTTACTGGTGAACAGTAACAGACTGCCTCTGTTTACCTTTCAACTTATATTTCTTTGGGTAACATGCAGGGCTGTTGCATACATTCCACTAACAGTCTTGGCAGTACCAGCTTCAGTACTTACCGTAAGCATTTGTCCGATGTCTTAGCAATTGTTGTTACTCCACTGTAATTATTGTAGAATAATGATCTATCATATAACTTGCCTACTTCATTTAAAATTTTCTTTCACTATTATAGTCTGCAACATCAAGCCCATGGTCTGAAGTTCCTTCTTGTTTTGCCTCCCTTTTTCTTTTGTTACACAGAGAAAAATTCAAAAAGAACTTCCTGATTAAATTGCAAGTTTGCACCCTTATGTGATTCCTCATTTAAATATTTCAGCTTGGTGGTGGTTATCTTTTTGGGCTACCTGTGGGCTTTGTTGCCGACTCAATTGGAGCCACTGTAGGTGCAGGGGCCGCCTTCCTTCTTGGCAGAACTGTAAGTTTCTGAGATCTCATTGTATATTTCTTAGTGTTTGAGTTTCTGAAAGAAAAAAATAATAATATCACGAGGGAAGCAGTGAAAGCAGTGAAACAATCTTACCTCTTGGTGTATTAAGTTGTCATATCTGTTCTCCCTCATTCGTATGTAAATATTTTGTTTGTGTCCTTTTGGTCATAATGTGTTTGTATTTCTTTATCTTATTCATGAATTCCCATACAGATTGGGAGATCATTTGTTGTTTCCAGGTTGAAGGATTATCCTCAGTTCCGGGCAGTTGCAATTGCAATTCGGAGATCTGGATTTAAGGTTTGGGTGATTCATATCTGACCTTATTAATTGAATTGACATTTTTAGCATGCACATTTACTGGTGTTTCCATGTGCTTCGTATCTTATTAATTTACCCCAACTTATTGTTTTCCAAGTGGTGAACAATGAAACAAGGAAGTAGTGGAAGTAGTTAGAGTGTAAAATGACTTTTATCTATAGTAAAAAATACAGATGTTGATATTGCTTGTTTAATTTTTTCTGCAGATTGTTTTGTTGCTTCGTCTTGTTCCCCTACTCCCATTCAACATGTTAAATTACCTCTTGTCTGTGACTCCTGTTCCAATAGGACAATACATGCTAGCTTCCTGGTTAGGAATGATGGTATTTTCTTCACCCTCCTTGAGACACTACTTTTTTTGTGATTCTATCCCAACATCTTGCTATGCAAGAGAGAGAGAGATTTAGTTTCATTGGGATGTTAATGTGTTTGATATTGATTCTCTTACAGCCAATAACATTTGCGCTAGTATATGTTGGAACAACTCTCAAGGATCTTTCTGATGTGACCCATGGATGGGGTGAATTTTCAAAGACCCGTTGGGTAAGAGCTATCTAATCTTTTTCTGTTCGAAACTGCTTGTAATTATCTGATTTATCCAAATTGATATCACATCAACATGGTTTACTAAGGACCTATGGACCATGTTGTGAGTATCATGTTCCAAAGGTTGTATCATAAGTTCATAACTGTTTGTTATGGACATATAAAGCTCTCAGAGAGCACAATTTACAGATTTTGAATTAGGCTTTGGAATATGTATAGTAGTGTTTCTTGACCCGGTATTTTTTTTTCTGATAAATGTTCACTCTTTTATATTATCTATGCAGGCTTTTATCGTATTGGGCCTCGCAGTATCTGGTAAGTTGCAACATCTCAACAAGCACACACAAGCCTTTTCTTTGGGCCACCTTCTCTTCTTTTCCTTCTTAGTGGGGTGGGAGCATGGGAATTACTATGTTAGACAAAGATGTTTGAGTTCTTACTATCATAACATGATCTCGTTTTTCCAGCTTAAGATACAAATAATGTTATTGAAACAAGGAAGAACGAAATAAGCAGATAGGGAAATATAATTTTTGGACTTTGGCACACTCCTAAGTAGGAAATGTCAGTGTTGTTGTATTGACAGGAGTTGAAAGTCTCTCATGTTCTCCTTAATCTCTCTCCCTTCCCATTAACATGGTCAATGAACAATGTAGCATTTATGAGCTCAGAGCTGTAGTTCCCGCCAAAAAATTCAGCTCTCCAACCCACCTTAATCTTTAGCCTCCTCCATCTGCTGGTCATCGGAATTGTCATATGCTCTCTTATAGTTATCAACGTCTTTCTCCACTTTCTTTGCCTCTCCAACCAAAGGCCACCAACCTAAGGTCACCACCCAATCTTCTCCCAAGAAATATAAGAAATCTTCCGCCACTATCCCCAGCCCGAGCTCCTAGTCAAGATTGGTAGTCTCGGTCATTGCATTGTGATGTTTCCAAATCATGCCCCTGAAGACAATAGTAGAGGGACTTTGGCTAGTGAGTGTGAGGTGAAATTGATTGGAAAGGGGAATTCTCGTGGTTTTGCATTTGGGTTGGGGGGGAGATGGTGAACTGAGAAAGTTTGAGACTACCACTATAATGGGGTTGTGAAGTGAATGTAATTGATGAAGGCAGGTATGAGATTGGGTAACAATTTACTTTCATGAAAAGAAGAGTTTTTCTAATTTTTATGATTTTAGTTATGATCTGGATAATGGTATGCTGAGGTTTTCTGATTAGACATGATTTTTGTGTTTTTCTATGAAAGAGGGGGCATAGATTGAAGATTCTAAATTACAAATCTCTGTATGGTTGCTTTATAAGTGGGCAAAGAAAGACGATCATATATTCAAAGTTATTTACTGTGTGAAGGACTATTAACATTATAAAAAAAAATAGAAAGCCTAAAATAAAGGGTTTATCTAGATGGAGGTGGGAGGTGTGGAGAAGCGAGAGAGAGGGAATCATCTCATTCTAGGGGCATTGCCATTTTGCATCTTTTACATGCATGTTACTCATTGATTATTGTTATCAGTTTCCTTGTATGATGCATTGTAATCACATGATTTGTATGTACACCCTCCATGAGTTTTGACTAGCCGAGATAACTGAGGAGGCTATATGACAATAAGAAATAAGAAATAAATAAACTCAAAATTTTGAAAGATATTGATGGATTTAAAGTTGAGAAGACATAGGAACTTGAGTCAGAATTCAAGGGTAGTTTCTGATTCCCCGAAAGAAAATTATGGACTAAGTGAAATTGTCAATATTGAAAATGGTGAATAAGAAAGACTTGGTTAAAAATTGCACTTTTAGTTTTGTACTCATCGTAATAGTGATGGTAAATATTATTTTTGTAATATAAGTTTCTGTACCTATATTGAAGTTTTAAAGTAGTCAGTTGTCTTCCTTTTCTTTTTGTTTGGCTTGTTTGCAGTGATTCTAATGATTTGTGTGACAAGAGTTGCCAAGGCTGCTCTGGAAAAAGCTTTGGCTGAAAATGAGGATATTGATATCAATGCTACACCAGAGTTGCCTGTTGTCGCTGAAGCACCTGCGCATCTCAACCAACCTCTCTTAATCAAGATAGACCCGTCTGAAGACAATCATGAAAAGTGAAATCCCTGTTCTTTGTAAATTCTTCTTCTACCTACCTTCTTTCAAAGGGGCCATGCCCTATTTAATACTCCAGCATCTGGTACTTTTTATTCATTCCCTGTACAGTTTACCCATATTGTAGATTGTAATTTTGGACAAATGTGGCTAATTTGACCATGAAGATTGTATTATTTGACTGTAGCTTTGTCTTTTCACCTTGAAATAAAAGATTAGAAAGTCATTGAGATCATTCTTGTGAGTCCTTTGCCTTGAATGGTTGGTTTGATGTAAATTGAACGATTAGTTTATTTACTCCCTAGAGAGTATAGTGAAACGATCCCTGCACGTAGTCGTAGTTTGCGATTAGCGTAGGGATCCCTAGTCTTTAAAAATCTCTGTAGCACACTATAAGTCAATTGCGAACAGATGATTATAACAAGAATCATCAGTACTGTAAAGCTTCTTATCAGAAGATCTGTTGTTAAACCATATTGTCCTCTTGTAAAGTTTGACAAAATATAACAGGCGACTCCTACCATTAGTTTATAATAAATTTTCTTTCTGCACCGAACGTTACGTGAGAAACAGAAGATTGGATTTGCCCTGATGCTAAAGTAATGTATTTGTTGGATATGACAATGTGAGAGCCACAATGTGGGTCATGGTGGAAAATATTGTGCTGGGTAGATAGAGTCTGAAATTTCAATATGTTTGTTTTGACAAGAATGAATGCAGAAGCTCCTGTAACATATTTTAGGATTTGTGATGTACCAGCACAAACACCACCCCACCACCCCACTCAAAAAGCCATGTGAGAAAGTCCTAATCTACCTGTGGTCCAAATTACCAGGGATTTTATATGCTTATAGAAATGGGAGCAGTTTTGGGAGGGAAAATGTGTCTACTGAACAGGAGTAAATCAAAAGTAAGTAATTGCTGCTATGACCAAACGGGAAGCAACATCATATACATGAGACCTCATTATTAAGCTTTGTATGTGTGGGCACACTTCACTTTATCTCTTTCTCCCTCTCCAAACAAAGAAAAAGCGGTCTTCAGCATTTTCATTTATTTATTTTGTCTCCATATCTCAACTTTCCCACTGTCTTGTGTTGAATTTTGGGCCCTTGGGAGACCCACCAGTTCCTTAATGGAAGGGGTAACAATATTCTATCATGTCAAATCTTTCTATGGTACAATTCATACAATTACTCCATGCATCAGCTATATAGTGTCACACAATCACAACTGCAGAAAGTGATGACTGCCCTCTTGGTTAGGTCAGAGCTCAAGTAATCACAGCCATCCATTCAAGAATATCAGAAAGTATCATGAATTGACTTAATGGGGGTATAGGCCCATGTAGGTTATATATGGATTACAAATGTCAAATATATGAGTGAAGTGAATCTTCTGCAACACAAAAAAAATGCATGTTGTCTTTAAATCCAGGGTGACCAAACACTTGAAGGCCCTCAAAGCAAAGATGCCCAGATTTGGCATTTTCCCAACTGGGGGTTGTTTTGATGGATGCAGGGATCATACTCAACAAGCCTCAGGTTTTGGGACAAGGATCTGGAACCTGTGTGACAAGCCTCTGGAGCTGCAAATAAGAGTTGGTTCTATACTGAAAAAAGTTCACACAATAAAACCAGGCTCTTCAAAGAGGCTGAAATGCAAGAGCATATACAAAGCCTATATGCCTGGAGGTGGTGAGATTGGGAGTGGTGGCATGAAGAGCTTGCTCTATTACTATGATGAGACTTGCCACCCTTATGTTTGGATTCATGACACTGGTGGTGGTGACACATTGAGAATGGTCAAGCAGCAATATATTAGCCTTGAGGACCTCAGAGACTATTGTGAGATCAGAATCTTTAGGGATCATCAAAGAGGCTGCATATCGGTTCGCAAGAAACCCAGGCCAGATTTTTGCTGATGAGATTTTATTCTGTTTGTAAGTTTGTATGTAATGTGTTGGTGATGACATTACTAAAGCATGTTTTCATCCCTCTTTGGTTTTGTTTGTTTTTTGTTTCTTTTATTGTGTGTTTTTTAAGATTTCAGAAGGTAACATTGCAGTATTATATACTGAATGAAATTGTTGCATCTGTTGGATAAATATGGTTTTATCAATGTGATGTTTGGCCGTCAAGAAAAATAAATAAATAAATAAACAAATGCAGAAAGAGACCTTGCAGTGTTTGCGGAAGCAGACCTTTGTCTTGTAATTTTTGCTGTGGAAGATGACTATATAATTTCTGTTTATCAACAGCTGCCAGCCACAGACTTTTCTTGTTGTTGAATTCAACTATTCAAGAAGGGTTGCTGCCGGCATCGAGCCAATTGGTTAACCTATTGGTTTTGTGTTTTCAAAATTGATTTGTTGTTGGGTTCTTTTTGTCAAAAGACTTCAAGCCAAAAATATTTTGGTACAAGTCAAAATGAAATCGTTGAAACAAAGGCTTCAATTCTTAGCTGATTAACAATGGTGTTGTGTCCGTGTTCAGATATTCAGATCATGTCATTCTAGGTTCATATCAGCCACATGGTCCACGGAGCAAACAAGATTATGTCATTCTACAAGGATTTGTACAATTTGAAGATCAAGATAAAAGTAAACATTTCTGTATACAAACAACACCAATAATAAGTTGCCTTCTCATGCTTGTGTTTGGTACCAAGAAACTAATAACCATTGAGTTAAAAATTAGGGTCAATTAACAAGAAAATAGCCTTTTTTTAAGGTAACGCTTGGTTAAATTATATTATGAAAGAGTATCGTATTAACTAACTTAAGACCTTAGGTGAGGTAACTGCTCTTAACCACTTGAGCTACATGCCCCTTACAATAAAAATTAGGGCTTTACACAAAGTGCTTGTAGCTCAGTTAGTTAAGAGTATTTATCTATACACCCGAGGTCATAAGTTCAATACCCCCTCCCAAAATCGCTGGTATAAAAATACATTAAGGTTTTACACCCGAGTTAATTGTTTAATAAAATAAAAAGGCCTAGTCCACAAATGGCGGTGATGGACACAACCTTTTATGCCTAGTAGACCGGGCCCTTCCTAAACTAGAGGTCCATTATTATTATTTTTCTTTCTTTGTAAAGTGCCAGGCTTGAACATTAGGATAAATCCATGATCATCTTTATTATATTAGTGTAGAAAACTTGAACTCAAAGAAGCTTCTATGTTGTCTGACCAGGCCAGAGAAGCATTTCCAAATTCTTTTACTTATGTTAAACTTATCCCTTCAAAAAGCCATAAAAAAAATGAACCCCTTCCAAAAAACTATTTGATTCAACCCTAAGAAAAGTAAGAATTGAATCACTATTTGATTACAAGTTTCATTCAAATAGATGAAATTGAGATATAAAATTATTTATAAAAAAATATGAGTAAGAAATGTTGAATTATAGACCAATGAATCAAATATTTGATTACAAGTTTCATTCAAATAGATGAAACTTAGATTAGGATAAGAAATAAAAAAAGTCAGAGATGTTGAATTACAGACCAAAAATAAATCGCAACTAATATCTCTACTAGCCTCTTTGTATACACTTCTGCTCTTGCGAGAAGCTTTTTTTTAAAAAAAAATTTATTTTATTTTACAATTAAAAAAGATAATGGGTAGTTGTGTTCCATAAAAATATGATCAATTATCTTTTTTTTTTTAATTTTAATTTTTTTAAATATGAAAACACGTGAATTTATCATATTATCCCAATTTAATTAATAATTTCAATCCTTAATATTTGCATTAACCAATTGCATTTTCTAGTATTTTGAATGTTTCATCATGTATTGCTTTTTGCTTTATATATGTATAAGATATACCCGCGGAATTTCCAATCGTCGCAAAATAGTGTCTGTCCGCGGAATTTCTAATCGGCGCAAAATGCGTCTGTCGTTTTATACACAAATTGACTCTTCACGCGAACAAAACGCGATCTTGTTTCTTCTTTCTGCTACAGTCTTCTTCTACAGTAGCACGGTCCACAGACCAAGTCTCCCAAAACCCATTTTTGTTTTCTTCATCTCAATCAAAGTTTTCACCTTCTTCCCCAACCCATTTCTCAAAAATGGGGATTTCATGGAGTAGCAACCGAAGAAGAAACAGCTATTATCAAAACCCACCTCCACAACTACCACCTCAACCCCAATACATCGCAAGTTCTCATCGCTATTACTCCTCAGACCATCCCTCTCTCTCTCCTCCTCCACCACCTCCTCCTCCTCCTCCTCCACCACCACCACCGCCGCCACCTCCACCGCCGCCACCTCCACCTCCACCTCCACCACCACCTGGTCCTCTGCTTACTTCTTCATCTTCTTCTTCATTTTCTTTTTCTGCAAATAATAGTAACTACCCATATGTCAATACCGCCACCCCTTACGCTCAACAACCCAGAGGTCCTTATCCCGCCTACCCTCTTCCTCTTACACCTCCTCCTCCTCCACCTCAAACCCATTACTGCTATGGCCACTACAGTTCATGCAACCATGCCAATTCCGCCATGGGTCGCTTCAGTTACAATTACAATTACCAGCCTTATTATGCTGCCAATCAGGCTAATGGGTGGCCCGCAATTCGGCCTCCCGTGGGCCCCGTGCCGCCTCCTCCGCCTCACGTTGAGCATCAGAACGCCAAGAAGGTGAAGAACGATGTCAACGTGCATAAGGACACATTGAGGCTTGAGATAGATGAGCTGAACCCTGATCAACATTTGGTTTCTTTCGTTTTCGATGCCATGTATGATGGGAGGTAAGCAAATTGAGGTCTTCTTCCACTTATTGAATTATTGAATTGTTCCATATTCTTGAGGCTTGTGATGATTTGAGTGCCTATGAGTGTTTTGATTTATTTGGGTTTTGGATCTCAAAGCTATCAGCTTTTCGGACCTGAGAACACGAAAGGTTCATCCCAGTTTGGGTTAGCTGAGATGGAGTTTCCCTAGCAATTAATTAGAGAGAGGGTATTCATACTAAGTAAGGAAGATGAGAGATGGAAGAAGAGAAATGTAATGCATTACTGCAATTTTATTGATTAGCTAAGTATTTGAAATTATCATAAGAAGTGGGACTTGCGAAATGATTGTTACTTAATGTTCATATTTGAGTCTTTGGATGATGTAATTGCTGACGGGAGGCCTTAAAACACATGAAGCCCACGAATTTCGCTTTTTCATGTGTTTTCTCTGTTGGTTGGATGACAGTAGTAGACATGACCATTACAAAGAAATTAGCTACATCTGTCAAAGGTTCCTTTTTAGAATGGTGAATCAATGCTTCAAAGTTCAAACAAGTCACACTAGTATTGGTTGTCATTTGTTTCTTTGAAGTGAATTTTTTTTCCAGAAATTTTAGCTCTACAATAGATGCTATAGGTTTTTCTCTATCTTAAGAAGGTATGGGTGCCCCTTCTCTTCGATTGGAAGGTTCCCTGTCATATATAAGGGCTTACATTTTCTTGGTTTTGTTTGTTAAACAGCTCTTAAGAGGAAGTAGAGATTTTCTTCACAAAAAAAGAGGAAGTAGAGATTGGAGGGGATAGGTTTGACTGTAATCAAGTGTTTGGGCTAGCTTTTCCATCAATGTTTTCCAGATCTCTGTTATTTATCTTGAACTCTCGATATTAAGAGGTCATGCTGGCATTACCGTTTATAAATTTTATCTGTTTCTATATAAAAGAGGGTTATGCTGGCACTACGAACTTTCGCACATTTCAAAAGATTTTGTGATCTAATAATTATATACCTATAAGCATTAACCAAAGTAAGATGCAGTTATTTCGTAAAAAAAAAGAAAGTAAGATGCAGTCAATGTTATGTTGTTTTCATAAAGTATTTCGTAGGTTTGAAGACAGCACTACGTAAAGTACAGCTTTTATCTTTATAATTGAGTCTATATGTTCTTGTGCTTTCATTTTAAGTTTTGTATCAAAAATTTGAGAAAGGCAATTTTTTAAAGATAACTCTTTACAATTGGTGTCCACACTATCTGTGGTCCCAATGGGCTTATTTCCTTGCCTCTTTTATAGACCTTGTTTTATATCTAGAGGTTAATAATATCAACTGATATGCAAGCAGTGTTGCCATCTAAAAGTAGCGTATATAAAAATTGGTGTTTTGATTGCTGCATATTATTGCTGAGCAACTGTCTATAGCCAGTCAGCAAGGTTATGCATGTATGTAGCACGCACCCTATGTATACGCCGTATATAGCTTAAATAAGTGTTTCCACTTATATCACATGCTTATTGGCCACAGTCATGGTTCTCTAACAGTAAAGACCATGGCTAGTAGTCCTTCATGGTTATATGTAGTGATTTCCATTTTCTTGTGCAGAGGCTTTTGCTTCTTTTTTGTTCCTAATTATCAGTGCTTAGGTGATCTTCATTTCTTATGGGGTATATCATGTTCTGTTTATCTGATCATGTCTTCTTATTGACAGCATTACAGTGTTCTACTTTGCCAAGGAAGAGCCAGACTGTAGATTTGTTCCACTATTCCCTGAAGCATTTGTGCCAGTGAGAGTCCCCTTTCAGAAGGGTTCCGGGCAAACATTTCGTCAGCCCTCAGGAACAGGCATTGATTTAGGTTTCTTTGAGTTGGATGATCTTTCAAAACCATCACCCGGAGAAGATGTATTTCCGCTTGTAATATCTGCTGAAACATTTCCACCTCATTCAACAGATGAGCATATTGTTGAGCCTACCCCAGATACATCCCCTCGTATGCAGATTACTCAAGCTGTACTAGAAAAGAACAATGGTGACCATTTCCAAGTGAGAGTAATTAGGCAGATACTGTGGATTGATGAAGTTCGTTATGAGCTACGTGAGATATATGGAATAGCAAGCTCGACAGTGGAAGGCTTTGATGACAATGACCCGGGGAAGGAGTGTGTGATATGCATGACTGAACCTAAGGACACTGCTGTGCTACCTTGTCGACATATGGTGAGACTTTGTCTAAGATTAGATAATTATATTGAGAGAGAGCTAATTACCATAGATTATGCTGGTGAATCTGCACTAGTACCATATGGTAGAAATGCTGTTAAGAATAATGATCAGGAAGGCTCAAGCACATTGTGCTCGAGCATGTGTCTTGTGAATGAACTCATCGCGGCACATGGGCTTGACTCATCTGATTACCATCTACCATTAGTTGGTCCTAGAGGAGGTTCCTGCTAACCTTCAAGTTTTCTTAGTTCATCTTAGTGGTTGCTAAAGTATCAGTAGGAGTGAGAGCATTGGATGGTTGGGTCACTAACATGGTACCCTGGTTTTCATCATCTCTTTTTCAAATTTCTTTTGAACTACCCTAAATGTTTTTTCTCTAGATGATGAGAAATCAAATTCTTGATTATAGTTTTGAGTCCTTCATAACTCCAAGAATTGTATACAACATTGCAAGCTAGGATAAACACCTCTATTCTTTTGCTTTTCACTTTTAAGACTACAGTTTCTTATTCTCATTTCATTTGTCTTTTCCAGTGTATGTGCAGCGATTGTGCAAAAGAGTTGACGCTTCAATCCAATAAATGCCCTATCTGCCGTCAACCCATTGAGGAACTCATAGGGATCGAGATAAATAAAAGTCGTCAATGAAAATACTTTTTTTCTCCATACTATGTGGATTGTGGTATGGCTATTGACTTCTTTTATGTGTGCTTTCACCTGTTGTATAAATGCATTTTTTGTTTTGTTTTGTATATTGTAATTGATGCGATGTTTTCTAATATGCATGTGATTATCTTACATAGCTTACTCAAATTTGATTCTCCAAGAAAGAACTTTCTTAACCATTATACATGTGGTGTGTGTGAGCCACAAGCTTTCTTCAACAGTTTCCTACACAGGCAACTTGTATAGAACTTCAAAAAACAAATGATAAGTTAAAAGTGTGGGTCTGATTTCCTTCATTACATTTAAGGAACCTTCTTGTCAAATTACATATTTCAAAGAGATGGCTGAAAACTTTCCACCAGACCTCCTGTTGCCCTAATGCAGTAGATGTTTTTTGAAGTTTTTGAGTTATACAGTATTTAAAGGGGGTGAAGAGTGTACTCTTAACTTTCCCCCTCTTTGGTTGAGTCTCTATGATATCCATAGTTTCTATACATTATTTGCTTTTGTGTGTGTACATATGGGTTAGCCAGGAGTATGGTGAGCTGTATGTCAAGAAAGAGAATGAAGAACATTCCAGGTCCGGGGGTTGGGGCATCTGGATAGGAGAAACATTCTGGGTCTGATGGAAGTACTTTTTTCACTCTGGGATACAGCTGAAAAAGAGTCTGGGAGGGAATATTTTCCATTGAAGTTATCTTTTAAGGGACAAATTAAGAATCTATAAAGCTCAGGTGGACTGTGAGAGGATGTTATTTGCATCTTATTGAACATTCTTCCTGTATTTTGCTTCGGTCCGTTATTGCTTATATGTCTCTGTTTTGTGTTTTATGCTCTTAGAGAATCACATCTTGTTCATCTTGAGGGACTACAGTTAAATTTATATATTAGCTGTAGTCTTCTTTTTAACTTGATCACACCACTGTGAATTCACCATGGACAAAAATTTGTGAGACCTTCGGAGTTGTGTAGAACTGGCTTTGTTATTCTTATATGTGGCGGCCTGTTAGGAGACTAATTTCTCATGTTGGTTGGATACATGACCATTGGCTTTATTTGGTTTCTTCAAATGGTGAAAATTCTTGGGGGAAAGAATTTTAGTCCAAAGCTGTCATAATCCTCCTGTTTTCACTTCTTTCTGCTATAATAGTGTTGATTGCTGGTAATATCTCACTTTGTTAGTTGTTTATATAATCACCAGCTGTTTCGGTGATATCCTTTTAATCTATATGCTTACAGTGCTAATTGCTTGCAGTAAAAGTTGGACATAAAATCCCATATCACCACCCTCTTTTCCTATTTTCTTTTCTAATGTTGCCTGTCCAGTCCATTAAGCACTGCATATATTCAACTCTGTAACTTAGTGATATCTTTCCAAAATGCTCGTCCTAAGAATTGATTTTCTGTAGAGCTTGAAAAATGTGTCTGCTCTGCATGTAACTCCAACAAGAAGTTTTGGTGAAAAAGAACAAGAAAAAATCTGTTAGAATGTTTTCATCAATACATTAAATTTGATAATACTGCAACTGCCTATATCATTTGGGTTTTATTATTGGCATCTTACTCATTGCGCATAGTCACCAGAAGGGCATTTGCTATTCTGGAAAGTGTTAAATTATAGATGAATCTTTGTGAGTAGAATGAAGCACACAGGAAAAAAAAAAATTTTCAAATTGTACAAAAGTTAGAGGCTTTCCTTGATAGTGAAAAGTCAACATCTTAACATCAACAGCTCCATTATTCTTCCCTACAGACAAAAAATCTATGGTTAAAACGAGTAAGCATTTGCAGAAACCATGTGGGTGGGCAAGCCTTTTAGTTACATTTGCAGGTGAATCGAATAAATGATCTCCATAAATCTCATCCTCATTTCTCGTATTAATCACTATCTATCCCAGAGGCCATGTGGAGGTTCATGTGACACCACCTGCATAAATGGCAATGGCATTGCATGGCCGCCCAAGTCTTTTCTTTTTAAGACCCTTTGTGACAAAAAAAAAGATGTAATATCGAAGTCCCAAATTTAGCCTACCCACTTGACATCATTTAACAAAGCCCCATGTTATTTAGTTTTCAAAATCACACACTAGCACTACACCATTCTGCTATGAAGTGTTGCCGTGTTGCTTTTACTGTCTGTGTGTATGGAGGCTAAATGGAAAGCCTAGTTTTCAACCTTTTTTTATTTGTTCTTGGGATCTCACTTTTGGGAGAAAAACTTATATATTACAGGGCATGTTCCGCCACACGTGATAACTTTTCTACTGGAAAAACATGATTAGTTCGGGATAGCAAAACAGTGTTATCCTCATGATATACAAGTTCTTCACTTTTGCTAATAGAACATGGTTTTGCTTAAACCTTTACGGACTCCAGAAGCCACCCTCAGAAACACAATCAACGTTTTCGAAACCAATTTTTTGTCTTTGTTTGAATTAGAACAGGAAAAGCAATTGGGTTAAGGCCCTTTGTCACCGTTCAAACATCTTTTTACTGGTGAAGTTACCTCTTCAAAGGGATAAAAAGGAAGCTAAAGGGAGAAAAGCAACAAGGGATTGTTTCATTATCACCAGTTTAAGCTTTCAAGGACAGCAATGATTTGCATCCTCAGGAAAAGGGAGTGCCCAAACTCATGAAAAATCTTCCCCATAAGCATGATTCATCTGCATCAAGAGGGCTTTGCTAGTGGCCCTCTTGTTGCTTTTCTTTTACCTAATTGCTGTTAACGTAGGGCAGGATCAAAAAAAACCAAAGGAACTTTATTATTAGCGTTGCATAAACCTGACCAACAGCTAGCTTAGTTTCTTTCTGAAAAAGCTTATATGACAGCCAATACTCACAATTTCCTTACCATATGGAAATATACCAATTCCATAGGTAGTTTCTAAAGCGTTTTTCACTTTTTTTTTTCCTCCAAGTTTTCCCACATATCATAAATAATGCACCTTCCATTAAACCAACCACAAGCCAAATTTGGCAACTCTTCCTCATGAAAAGAAATTTTCTACTAGTTGGTATACTAGCAACTAGCTAGCAATAATTTTGGGAAAGATGAAATACATGAGCACAAAAAGGCTACGAACTTTTATATTTTCCCAATAGTAGAATGTCATTTTTCGCATAGGGTGAATTTTTTTTTCTCCGAAAAGAGGGATTCGAACTTGAAATATAGCCTTTTATGTTTTTCTTCTTCTATCGGTTAATGTCATGTAACACGGAATTATATTATAACTCAAGTTTCAACTCACCCATCTCTTCTCACGTGGAAATGTGGTGGTAACGACAGTCTTGGCCCAAAATTTCGAGCAAGTACTGCATGTGGAGGACGTACCAGATGTTATCAGAATGCAATGCATGACAACCAAATGAATCGATCTCCTTGGATTTTTATCTCAAACCAAGGAAACCCGTGTCAATATCAATTCTCCAGTTTAGAAATCATTTCCAATGCCACAAAGAAATATTTGCATGAACATCGGACACTAATTATTCAATTTAGACAGCAACCTATAACTAGCTAGTGATCTTGGTTTTATATTACAAGTTTCATGCCATAACCAATACGATGCATAGTACACCACCTTTGTGTCATTTATTTCATCTTATTTTCTCTCATCTCTCTCTTTATCTTTATTTTAAAATGTTACAATCTCACGAGACATTGTTAACACATAATGAGAGAAATAGGAAGAGAATGGTATGTACCTGGTGCCTGCAAACTTTTTTCCTTTACATGGTATGTTTAGTACATATATATGTTCCGCATCGAAACTATATGGCAGAAAGTCGCAATGCGAGGTCATTACTCAATGGTGTTGGATAGAATTGACAAAGATCAAAACCCAGCTATCTCTTCACCAGTGGTGAGGTAAAAAAGTTTTGCCAAGCTCAAGTTTCCTTTCAACCCAAGAGGGCATTATGGTAATTTAGGGTGGACAGATGAATGTAGACTAGGAAGCACAAGAATCAGGTAAAAATTTAAATAAGATAGAGGAAGGAAACAAGATCCTATTTAATGACAATATTTATTATACCACCCAATTTGGGGAGAGGAATTCTGACAGAGTTCATTCACTTCTGCTGATAATAATTATCAAATATTAAAAACAAATCCGAGCCTCCTCTTTCACCACTCACGACTCACCATCATGGTCTAAAATATTAATGATATCGGAAATATCGATAGTTCAAAAACATGGAAATTTCAATGGAAATATCGGGATATTATCGATATCGATAAAAATTGAATAAAAACCACAAAAATTTTAAGAAAAACTTGGAAATTTTTATTGAAACTTTGGAGAATGTTTATTTAGTCAATTATCTATTAGTTTATAAAAATAAAATAAAAATAGAAGGAAATACATTACATGATGGATTTAACTTATTTAAGTTGATTATACAGCAAGCTGGCAAACACTGTGAGTGTAGAAAATATATAGTAATTAATAATAATAAAAAATTAAACACACCATAATCATTTATATATAATGATTTACTATAATATTTTACACTTTATACATTGCATTGTAAGATACATAAGTAATTTAGTATCACATAGAGTTCCTATGAGGTTCAAATTTTTCACTATCTTCATTATCTCTATATGTGTAGAGTAAGTATATTGTGAAGAGTATTCATCAAATGATAAATTCTCAAAATAGTTTTGCATATAATTGTTAACATGTCACCCATATAAATATAAATAGTTTAGCATATTATCACTAAAACATAAGTGATATAGGGTGGTTAAGGTGTTGGAGGAGTAAAATGGGAGGGGTTCAAATTCCCTTTGTGTTTTTTTTTCCTCCCTTTTTTTTGTTCTTTTTTTTTCCCTTTACATCGATATTTTTGATATTTTAGCGATATTACACCGATATTTTGACAAAATGTTGCTGAAGTGTGAGCGAAATTATCAACATCAATATTTTCCGATATTATCGTCAATATTGTCGATATTTATACGATATGTAGATGTATATGTTTTGAAATATCCGTAATTCAAAAAAACCGAAATATTATCGATATTTCGTCGATATTATCGATATTTCATACTATGCTCACCACCATGGTCAAGCCAAAGCCAAAGCCAAAGCTGACCTTTGGCTCAAGCCAAGCCAAGCCAAATTTGACCCACATGCCTATTGGAATTCTAATTGTGTAGTAAGTTACAGTCTGTTCTGTGTGTATGGTAGGGATAGAAAATACATAAATAAAGGCCCAAAAGAAAAGAGTGAAAGCCTTGGAGGCATCACACTCTCTCTCTCTCTCTCTCTCTCTCTCTCTCTCTCTCTCTGTCACAGTCTCCTTTTCTCTTTGTTTTAGCTCACTCACCCCATCTCTCTCTTGCCCTGAAATAGAGGAAGCAGAGATGCCGATTGAAGTGTAATGTCTACCCACCGCTTCTGAGCCTCTCTCTCTCTCTCTCTCTTCTTCAAAGACTGAACCTCGTTGGGTCTTAAAACTTTCTCTCTGCTCAGAGAGACTTGGACCCAATTGTTTTCTCTCATTGTCTCTCTGTGTTTTTCGCTTGGAAAAAAGTCCCAAAAAGAAAGAACAGAGACAACCCTTTTCTCGAGCTCTTGTAATTCACCCTCTCTGTTTCTTAGATCTATTTGCGACCCTTTTCTCTCTTTCCATTATTGTAGCCTTGTGTTTGTTGCATTTGAGTTGCAGCTATGAGTAAAGAAGAGTTCTTGAAGATCCAGGTACTCCTTCACTCCCCTGTGCTTAATTCTTTGCTTCATTTGAACTCAAATGTATTTAATTTTCTTTAAAGTTATTTGTCTGCCATGCTTATCCCTTTATTTCATGTAGCATATAGCAAGCAAGCTTTGCTCTTTTTCGTTTTGTTCTTTTTGAATATTTCTCTTTACTCTGTTTTGCTCTTTGGGTTATCTGTACATGCAGAAATGTGTTCTCAAAGTGAACATACACTGTGATGGATGCAAGCAGAAAGTGAAGAAAATCTTACAGAAAATTGATGGTATGCTCCATTTTGTTAGAGCCCTGTTTTTAGGTTGACTCTGTCACAGACAACTAATATTTTCCTGTACTGAATCACATTTCCCAGAAGATTTTTGTTCTTCTTGTATACTAAAACTTTCAAGTTTGCATCTTTTTATTTTTGAAATTATGGGTTAATTTGTGTTTCCTTTTTCTTTAGGAGTTTTCACCACCGACATAGATGCAGAGCAGGGGAAGGTGACTGTCTCAGGAAATGTAGACCCTTCCATTCTCATTAAGAAGCTTGCAAAATCTGGCAAACATGCAGAGCTCTGGGGTGCTCCAAAGGCTAATAACAACAACAACCAGAGCCACATGGCCAATCAGCCCAAAAACATGCAAATCGACAATGGCAAAGGTGGAAACAACAAAGCCCAGAAGGGTGGTGGTGGCAACAACCAGCCCAAGGGTGGGGGTGGTGGCAACAACCAGCCCAAGGGTGGTCAACCAGGCCAACAACAGCAGCAGCAGCAGCAGCAACTTCAGCAACTTCAGCAACAGCAGCAACTTCAGCAGCAGCAGCAGCAACATCTTCAGCAACTTAAGCAGCTTCAGCAGTTTCAGCAAATGAAAGGGTTCCAAGATCTGAACCTCCCCCAATTGAAGGGCATGCAAGTGCCTCCTTTCAAGGCCCCAGCCCCAAACCCCAACCAGAAGGCTGTGAAATTCAACTTGCGTGAGGATGAGGATTTGAGTGATGATGATTATGACGACCTTGATGATGAGGACTATGATGATGATGAGTTTGATGATGAGTTTGATGATGACATGGATGACCCCCATCATCCTCTTAATAAGATGAAACCTGTGATGGGTAATGGTAAGTTGCCTAATATGATGGCGATGATGAATGGTAACCATCCACAGATGATGAATATGAATGCTGCCCAAAAGGGTGGGAATGGTGGTCAAAATGGAGGTGGCGGTGGAGGTGGGGGTAATGGGAAAAAGGGTGGTGGTGGGCCTGTGCCTGTTCAGGTGAATATGGGAGGTGGGAACAATGAGGGTAAAAATGGAGGAGGAAAGAAGGGTGGTGGTGGAGGAGATCACAATCAAAATCAAGGTGGTGGAGGTGGAAAAAATGGAGGCAAAAATGGGGGATTTCCCTCAGATGGTAAAAATGGTGGCGGAGCACTTAACAAGGGTGGTCCTAATGCAAACATCAATAACGCCAATGGGGGCAAAAAGGGGGGCGGTGGAGGCGGAGGTGGTGGCGGTGGAGGAATGAGTGAAGCTCAAGCTATGAGCAATGCTTTTCACAACATGGGTGGGCGCCCTCAGGGCATGCCTGGAGGAGGTAATATGGGCCAGATGGCCAACATGAACAACATGGCAATGGGGCCAATGGGTGGCATGCCAATGAGCCAAATGGGCAACATTCCAGCTGTTCAAGGCCTGCCGGCAGCACCGATGAATAGTGGCGGTGGCGGAGGCGGGGCCGGCTACTTCCAAGGAGCTGGGCCTGAGGCCATGCCTGGAAACCCCTTCCAGCAACAACAATACTTGCAAGCTGTGATGAACCAGCAAAGGGCAATGGGCAATGAGAGGTTTTCGCCTATGGTGTATGCTAGGCCTCCACCAGCTGTGAATTACATGCCAGCTGGCCCACCACCCCCATACTATCCATACCCTCCTCCTCCAGCTGGTGAATACTCTCACTTCTTTAGTGATGAGAACACCTCAAGTTGCAATGTGATGTGAAAAAATTGACTGAAAGTTGGTGCTGCCTGCTGCTGATTTGGGTTAATTAATTTGCTGAGTTTGTGGTGGTTCAGTTCATAGTTCCAAGGACTAGAAATCTGGTGCCATATTATACATGGAAATGGTTTTTTCTTCTTTTTAGTTTTAATTCCTCTCTCCTTATTTTTTATCTTCATCCCTAGCCCCACCCCACCGCCCAGATTCATCCCCAAAAACCCAAAAGCTTCGACACCACCCACCGCGTCCACCACCGCCGCCTCCGCCTCGGCGTCCCGACCTTTCCCGACACTTTTTATCCTAAGTCCATTAGGATTTTAATTATCAATAGGGAGAGTATTTATAGATAATATATTTAAAGTTGTTAGGGCAAGAGATGAGATGTAAGTGGAGGAGATGAGAAGTGTGCTCTCTCTGGGCTTCTCTCTTTTTTATGAGATGTTTATATGTGTTCATAAGTTTCAAACAAAATAATATCAAAGGGAATGCCTCTGCCTGCCCATCTCTCCCTTGAGAGCCCAAAATGCTCTATTTGCTCGTTACCTTCTACAAGCTTTTCTTCCCTGTTTTCCCAATGTGGTTGACATCATGGATGTTTTCGGTGGTGGGTCTCCACATAAATGAGTAGGGCTAGTGGGAATATGGACCCACTAATCCCTAACACTGTTTTTAGGCGATGGTGTATCAAGTATGCCCCTCCACTGTTTAGAAAGAAAATAATTATGATTCTCTCCAAACCCAATAAACAATTATTCCAAGATTAAGCCTTTCGGCAAGAGGCTTGTAGCTCGAGCGGTCATCCCACAACTAACGTCTTATGATTTCCATAAATACAAGAAGCTCATACCTTTCAAGATTGTTTTTATGCACGTATTTGTCTATAGGAGACAGTAAATTCTGTGTATATTTTGGCATTGATATGAAAGGGTGTGAGGAGGAGGTGTTGACAAAGACCAGCTACAACAACTTTATTTAGAAAATCTAACGGCGTTGACACTTTGACACGAATTCAGGGAGTCTGGTGAGTGAGTGGCACACACTGACAGACTATAGTCTCATCAAACAGAAGGAAAGAAACAGCATCAAAAACAACAGAGGGCCCCACACAACATGATGTGTTGGATTTATCACATGATGATCATGATGATATATAATGGAGCTGCCTAGCTGCTGCAGCTGCTCATCTCCATCCATCCATCCATCCATCCATCCATCCCTCCATCTACTGTCTAATCAGACAGTGATTGATGGGAAGCCCATATTGTACCTTCCCAAAAGTACTTCTCTGTTCCCTCTTGCTTGCCATTCTCCATTATTATAAATTAAATTACATATATTACCGAAAAGCACAAGATTTTAGCTTAAATGGGTCAGCTTTGGATTTACTAATTTACTAATTTAGTAGTAGACTAAATACTATTACTACCATTCTAAAATCCAATCGGGAAGGGAACAATGACTTTTGGAATTTTTTTAAATCGAGATTGTACTCTAATAACATAATATGTAAACTTATTCTATCACGTGTTAAGGAATTTCTTGGTCACCTACAATATCACGGACTCGAATTCTGACTTCACCTAATTCTAACTCATTTTTCCACTCAACCCTCGTAACTAAAATTAACCTTAAAGCTCATCTTTTATCTAAAAAAAGTACATACCGATCTTCAATTTCATAATTAATAATATTATATCAACGAACATTATAATATGATATGTTATATTATTAAACTGTAAATTGAAGATTCACATTTTACTAAATAAACAGTACATAATTTATAGTTTGACAATATAAGATTTTGATTTTTTCATGGTAAATATTTTTATAGAGGGCCTTGGTGGTCTAGTCTTTTTATGCGTGTTGCTTGCAAGATGAGCCAACTTGTGTCTCAGGCTACGGTTGCACGGGTGCTGAGAGACCTGAGCCAACCAATTAATGCTCGTAGCTCCAGATCCAATATTTCCTCCCGCTGATTGATTACCAAGAATCACATATCCTCCTCCTGGTTTGGACCAACCCAATCCTCGACTCGAACAACCACGAAACTCTGTCCAAATGTGAAATATCATAGATAAGCCCACCAATTGTCACTCATGTAAGTCGACACGTGGCGGGAGATGGATGAGGACGACTTTGACGGGTAGCTGAGAGAGAGAGAGAGAGAGAGAGAGAGAGAGAGGAGGAATCTCATATTCACATGGGATGGTGTATGGATGGGTACATGGCAGGCAGTATGGGGATGAGGGTTGGGGCGGGCTTCCTTTGGATGTATATGCAATTTTGCATATAATGCATGCCAAACGGCACACACTCACACAAACCAAACAACACACTCTGCTATTTTACAAATGCTTGCTTCAACAAAATCGTGTTTTCTTCTTTTGGCTTCTTTATATTTTCTCTTTCCAAAAAGTAATGTTTTCTGTGTGAGATATTTCACAGTATCAACGTGATAATGTTATGTTGTTGAACTGTCAAATTGTTCATTTCTTCGTAAGTTAACAATGAGACATATAATATAAAATTTAGGTTATTCGAAATTAATCTAATCCACTAAGAAGGGGGAATTCAAACTTGGGTTTAAAATTAACAATAATCCTAAGAGAGAGAGAGAGAGAGAGAGAGAGAGAGAGAGAGAGAGAGGCTAACCATGATTCACCAAAGAAAAAAAAAAGTGCTACTCATGATGAAGAAGACAGGAAGCTGGAGCCTTTTCTGTTACTTTGTTCACTTTTTCATCTTTTTTGGGCCCTTAATTTTGACTGAGGATTTGAATTGATGATGATCCTAAACTTTCACGTGGGTCCTCATCTACTTGTCTTTATTAATTGGATTAGCTATTCCTCTAAAATCATGTTACATTTAATTAACCTCCAAGCTAAGTCAAGACTCTGAAAGCTTGCACATTAGGCAATTCTTTTTGTCACTATATATTCTTTACTTCTGTCTTCTGCTACTTATTGACGGACACTAACTTTCAGGGCTAAATTATATAACTAAAACTAATGAAAGGTTTTTATTTTTATTTTTATTTGGTAAGTTGTCAAGTTTATGATTTCTGTATATTATCATTTGTTTCTAATTCCTTGGAGTTTTCTCATGGATGCTACTTCTTTGACCTACATTATATTTGAGAGACAGACTACATTCCTTGGAACTTTGTATATAAGAAACTAAAGAAGGCACCATTTTATATACAAACGATATTGGAGAATGAGAAAATCGAACTTAAGATCTCAAGTGTAAGAGTAACTGCTCTTAACAACTTCAGTTACAAACCTCTTTCATTCGATATTTGTCCTAAAAGAATAAGAATCAACCGCAAGAAGGTAGAAACAAAGGGTTCAATATTAGTAAAGTAGTAAAGTGAGAAGAATAGTGAGGTGAAATGAAGTAATGATTTAAACTATAGTGAATTAAAAAAAACAAATTGATGAACAATAGTAAAGTAATTTCATGTACAAAATTCTTTTCTAGAGAGTAGCGAAGTGAATTTGCGAGTTCCAACGATAGAAAATTGAGTTAATCTGTGGATTGAAGTAAAATTTATTAAAGGTAAATAAATCTAAAAATGATGGGGGTATTTAAGTAATTAGATAATTAAGGGTCTGCCTGGCAAATGCTCCAAATAGAAATAGTGATGGATGGATGGCAGGGATGGGGTTAGGCCACTTTGTTTGTTTGTTTGGTCAAATCACCGTATCTGTAAATTGTCTCCAAAACCAACAAAACCGGAAGAGGGACAAACAATGTTTTGAATTATTACGCACTTGACTCATCCACAATCCGTACGTGCCGGTGCATGTTAATGGAGGAAAATTCGATAAGAAAAAAAGAGTACCACCACATCACAACTAGTGACAAACAATCCTAAACACAAAATTAAGAAAATAATTTTTCGGGTCATTTTCTAGGCATATACTATTTTTTTGGGGGTCATTTTCTAGGCATTTAAAGGCAAAACAAGTTTTGTAGAAAATTAATGATGATGGGATAAAGACAATTTGTATAAGGATAAATGTTTTTATTTTTTTAATATTTATTCGACAATTGTAGTTTATAAAATTTGAATTTATCAATATTTTCTTTAATAAAATAAAAACCGAATGTTACTAGACAAATGATCATGCACGTTTGGGGACAATGGTAATGATCAAGGCAGGCGTTGAAATTCAATATGTCTGTAAAAGGGTGGAAGTCTTTAATTTCTTGTAAGTAGGCATGGTGGGTTTGTGGCGTGCCACCATATCCTTCCACTTCCAGAGGTCTTTATGAGTTTGGAGTGGTCCATTTTTAGGTCCCTTACCAATTTCCTCCTCAACCCACTCAAGTCACACCATGAACAAGCACCACGCATGCATATATATATATATATATATCAAACATTAAATCAAGGTAGAAGTCCTCAATACTAGTTGTACTTACCTACAAGCTTCGTCTGACATTTCGCACACCAATATTGATGCATACAATAACTCTTCAATTATTATTATTGTTATCTCTAAGCAAATTAATATCAACACAAAGTAACTACACTTTCAAACTAGAGCATCACATCATCACTTGGGCTAGGTTTTAGTTAGGATTGCTTTTGTTTTCTTTTAACGAGGGACAGATACACTGTTTCGACCAACTGACCTAGCTCACATATGTACTTAAGATAGTTAAATAATGTACGTGTAGATTCTAGTTATGCCAACTAAGATAGGACTCATGCATAAAATGGAATGTGGATACAGTTAATGGTCACTATCTAACAAAATATATGGCAATAATAGTTGGGTGGGGTGACATGACTTGAGTGAATTCTGATTAATAAGTTTGAATTGGTTCCCAGTTGTTTTCATGTGGCAAAACCAGAATTGTATCATTTGAGAGCACGCCATGTGTTATATATATGTTCCATCACATTTTACAGTAAAATTGATTTGATATCTTTATAATGTGAAAGGATCGTATTGTGGCAAGCATAGGATAGGATAGCCCACAGTTGTTTTTCA